CAACAGAGGGCCAGGCTCACTCTTGTCAATTACAAGCTGAGGCCTCAGAGAAGTTGAGCACATTCCTCCAATCCGCAAGCCAAGCAGGGCAGAGCTGTGATGCAGACCCAGGTCTTTGCCTGAATCGAGTGCCTGTTTTCTGCAGCAGTGGTCAGCAATGTCACCAGCACCAGCAGCGGCTCTGCTGGAAGCCGTGGAGGGGTCAGTGGCAGCAGCAGCGGTAGCTACAGAGGCGGCAGCAGCAGCAGAGGCAGCAGTGGTGGCTACGGAGGGGTCAGCTGTGGCAGCAGCGGCGGCTACGCGGTCACCGGTGGTAGCAGCGGGGGCTACCAGAGTGCCAGCGGTGGGGGCAGGCTCAGCAGCGGAAGTAGCAGCTCTGTAAGCCAGAGTGGAATTGGCTCCAGCTCTGGCGGCATTCAGACCTCGGGAGGCAGCGGCTATAATAAGTCTGTCAGTGGAGGCAGCACCAGCATCCGTTTCTCCCAGGCAACCAGCTCGAGCCAACACTGCTCCAAGTGATCCTCTGGGGTAAAGTGTCCATGCCCACCTGCATCCCTCTCAGCCTGCCACGGCACCTCCTACTCTGCTTGGCATCAACAAAGGCCAACCTCAACCTCGCTTTTCTTCAAGTTCCCCAGAGAAGAGGCTGAACTTCTTTCTGGCTCCTCCATCTCCAAGACCTCTCCTAGGCCAGGAAGGTCCAGCTGCCAGTCCTCCACGATGACACCCCCAGATGAGGCTGTGATAGCTCCCGATGTGATAACTCCATACCACTACGGACTTTTCCAGCCTGGCCTGTTCCCACCCTGGCCCATCTCCCTTTCTTACTGGGAGTTGATGGTCTGGAAGTAAGCGTGTTTCAGCCCCGCTGAGGAGGGGGGTGCTAGGGAGTGAATGGTCAAGTTCTCTGGACTGTTGGTTCTCAGGGTGCCCTCTTCACATTGGCATCATGTCCTGACCTTACCTCTGTCCCCTTAATTTCCCCAGCTGTGGAGCCTCTGGTGATGATTATGTTGCACTTTCTTTTCTCAATAAATTGCACTGTGTTTCGCATTCTGGTGTTTGGCTTTCATTCAGGGAGTCATAGAATAAACGGAGGTCCAAGAGTGGAGAGAAATCAAGTGTGGTTGGTGGTCTCCCAGAAGTTATGGTGGGTATAAGGGATGCTCGATAGGCTTAGCTTCTCCTTTATTCATTTGGCTGCATTCTTGTGATAGGCCTGCCCAAGAGTATTTATGTTGCTTATGTGGGGACCCCCCACTCCCAGGGAGGTCTTCCCATCCATCCTCCTCTAAGCAGACCTCTGGGATCCAGTCTTGGACAAAGAGGGCTTTGTAGTTCATCAAGGGAAGAGATTTTCCTAGGACTGTGGCTCCTTTGCTCCAAATCCCATGCTGGGCAAACACAGCAAAGTCTCTTTCTGCAAACACAGCTTCTGGAGTCTGGAGGGGTCAATGCATAACACCATCTCTTCCCTGACCAGGTTCTCAGCCAATTAAAAAATAAGACAAAGGAATGAGCAAATGGAGAGCCAATATTGCATTTATTACTAGCAAAGCAGATACGGGGGAATACTGTTTATACCTCTGGTGGAATGGGTTTCTTATTACAGGACCTCAGGGTTAGACCAGATTTCCTACCTGGGCAGACACAATATATAGGGTCATCATGGCCTTCCCTATGGTTTCAGACCTCTCATGTGAGATAGGAGAGCAGAAGAGCAGAACATAAGCTCGCTATGGGTAGTCAGATCTTTAGACATGGATGGACAGAACTATGCATGCCCAGTTCTTCCTTCCAAACTCACTCATCAGGCAAGAGAGAGAGAGAGTAGCAGAACCATCAGTGGAATTTATTCCAGATGGATGTAAAATTAGTATTGAGGAAGATGCATAGTCGCACTACACTGGCATCTCCCAGCTGTTCCCAGAAATCTGTAACCCAAACCCAGGGAGGAGAGGGACAGCGAGATAGCCACGGAAGGAAACCAGGAAACTGAGAACTTCAGGGGAATCTCTGTTCCTTCCCTCACTCCCGAATCCAATCCCAGCTGCATGCCTTTGAGCATGGTAAAATTTTGGTTTGTAAGTCACTGCAGATCATACATTATCTCCCCACACCCCCCCAAAGTCAGATCCAGAGCTGAAGTAATGAGAGGTCATCTGTACATTTATCTGATGGTCCAAGAAAAGTACCAGGACGAGGTCTCCATGTTCTTGAGCCTGATCTGATCTCCTATGCTCATCCCATTTGATCTCCAAAATATAGCAGCCCTGGTGTCAAGCCTTGGAGGAGACTAATTTTACAGTTCCTACACTTGAGAGTGTAATAAATCCTTGCCCATCTTTTCAAGGCCGGCTGGCAGGTGAGAGTCCCTTCCCCCTTTATCCTTGGCATAGCTCAAGGTATTGTGGGAGTAGGACAGACCATTCTGGATTGCTGCTCTTACTGGCCCTTTAGAGACATCACTGGAAGCATCACCAATCCCTAGGAAGACACCCCAGATGCTCTGCTCCTTGTGTTGCCTAACTTTCTGGGTAGAGGCTGACTGCATTGGACCAACCCAGCTCTCATCAGCCTGAAGCAGCAGGGTTTGGGGATGGCCTTTCAGTCTCTTATCTGTCTATTCCATGTAGGGAGAGCCTGTTCCTGAGTGCTGTCTTGGGGGCCTGCACAGCATGTGGGGCACACAGTGAAAGTTTGGGGGCCAACTGAAAGAATGAAGAGAGTAATGAGAGTAGGACCTCCCTCCCCTCCACCCTAGAATAGGTCACACTCTGAGGCAGGATGAAGTTGAAAGTTGACAGTGAGAGCCTGGCACCTTCTTATGAGCTCTTGTGAGGAGAGATGGTGGAGGCAGCAATGGAAGGAGTTGGTGAAAGACTACAGGATACTTGGAAGCAGGGGACGGGGGTCAATCAAGGCATGCTGGACAAGAAGCCTGGAGCAGGCCTGGGAAGGAGAGTCTGGGCAACATGGAGGAAGGGCAAGGTTACAGGGCAGATGTCCAGACCAAAGCCCAGGAGAATTCTAGGGCTAGCATCACGTTTCATGCTCTTGACACAGGCTGGTACTAAACCATGTGCCAGTGAATCAGGGAAGCTTCCAAGGTGAGGGCACCATATCTGAGGCCAGGCTGGGGTTGGAGAGGATGGAATATCTCTAATATCATAAGCTGGCAATTCTGAGCTTTCTGAGCCATGAAGAACCCCTCAAATTCATCTCCCATGTGAAGATAGAGCCGAGGAAGTTCTTTGCTTCTGAAGGCAGCCAGAGTGTGTAGAGTAGGTAGTATTCACCTTTATGAAATGGTCAGAGAGGTGACAGGAGCCTTTCCAAATTGAAGCTTGAAATCCTACCAGTTAGGTCTTTAGGATTAAACAATCTGTCTCCTGGAGGCAACTGTTTCTTCATTCTTCATCTTTTATCTTTTATTCTTTATCCCCCACTCTTTCTCTCTTCTTCTAAAGGTCTTCCTCTAGATTACAAACACAACACACACCTGTAGCAAAAATGCATAAAATTAACTAAGTAAAAAAAAAAGAAAGATCATCTATAATTCCACCATCCTGTGACATTTTCCTATGTGTATGCATTTGCATGCACACACACACACACACGCATATAGATAGGTGCATGTAAATATATCATCTTTTACAGAATAGGGCCTTAAAATACATATTGCTTTATAGTCTGATTTTTCATTTAATCTATTGTGAAATTTATCCATTTAGTCATTCAACAACTAGAGTGAGATCCTATCATTTTCCAGACACTGTTCCAGGCTCAGGAATAGAGTGAAGAACACATATAGTCTCTGCTCTCGTAGAGTTTAAAGTCTAGCTTGGAAGAAACTTAGCAAATAATATCTTACCATAATGACCAATATAGATGGAGATCATTATTTTCTTTTTCAGTGCAGATTCTTATTTTCATTTAAAAAATCCCCAAAGGTACACGTTGGGAATTAAAGTACTATTTTTTCCTTCTTTCTAGAGGTGTGACATACATGTTTTCTGGTCATTAATATTCTACCAAACATTTTACTAACATAAGCCACATAGAGATCATTAAAACTCTTTGCTATCCCTTCCTATTCAGGCTGAGTTAGACCAGTGAATACCACTTTGGCGGGGAAAAGTGAGCTGGAAGGGCAGAGCCTGGAGAATCACATTTTTACCAAACTCATCCTAACCCCAACCCAAAACCTAACAAACTGATTTATACAGAAAGGATTTTAAGCAAATCTGCATAAACATTTAATGCGCAATAAGAAGAGTATAACTTTAGTCTATTTCCAGCATACAGTACATATTCATTGGTATTCAGTAAACTAGTAACTCCAATGATGAAAGTATTTTTGCTCTCATAGCATTAACAACTACAAAGTGTAACTATTTAGGGGAGCCTGGGTGACTCAGCCGGTTGAACGTCTAAGTCTTGGTTTTAGCTCAGGTCATGATCTCATGGTTCATGAGTTTGAACCCCTCATCAGGATCTGCGCTGGCAGTGCAGAGGCTGCTTGGGATTCCCCCCCTCCCTCTCTGCCCCTCCCAAATCTCTCTTCTTCTCTCTCAAAATCAATGAATAAACTTTAAAAAAAGTACAACCATTTAATTCTTGTTCTTTAACTGGATAATCAAATAAATTCTAAGATTAAATCTACCAGATTAGTCTGAGTATTCATCTACAAAACATTTTTTTTTCAAAAACGATTCTTATTTTTTAAAGAAGGCTTCTTTTTTTTAAAAAAAATTTTTTTTTAATGTTTTATTTATTTCTAGCAGAGAGAGAGAGACAGCGTGAGCAGGGGAAGGTCAGAGAGAGAGGGAGACACAGACTCTGAAACAGGCTCCAGGCTCTGAGCTGGCAGTCAGCACAGAGCCCGACGCGGGGCTCGAACCCACGAACCGCGAGATCATGACCTGAGCGAAAGTCGGACGCTTAACCGACTAAGCCACCCGGGCGCCCCATACAGATCCAAAGCTAAAGAAGGCTTCTTTTGCAACAGTAGGACTCAATCAGGACTAGAAGAAGACAGTGATAAAAGAACTGTAAACCCAAGACTAGGAATTGATTTTCACATGACGCTGTTGGGCGAAAGACATCATTTTTTAGTTTATTCCCACAGCCAAGACCAGTTCTAATTTTCCCGTGATGGTGGGCTGAAAATAGGAGTTTCAGACAGGGCCAGCTGTTTTAACAATGTAGATAAGCATTGCTAAACAGACAAAAAGTCCACACAGATGGGTCCCTGGGTTTGAAGGACTGAAACTCTCAATCAAGTGAAAGAGCTGTGAGCAGGGGGAAATTTATGCAAAACCTGTCTTTGGTATTTCCCACAGGGAGGGTTTGTGATGGTGGTGTTTCACTTGGTTGTCACAGGAACACATATTCCAGGGAAAGGGGCCTTCCAGATGGAATGCTTGACCTAGTCTTATCCCAGAGCAGTCTGACTCTCAGAAGCACCTGAGAGAGGTGTCTATTTTGGCAGGAATACTAGGAATTATTGAATAGAAGAAGGTGTTTCAGGAAAAAGAGAAGACCTGGGAGCATCAGGACTTTCTGACCTATCAAAACCTAACATTAATAAACAGTTGCAGAACAGAGCCAGTCTCTCCACGGTGTAGTCTCCAATCATCAGGAGCAGAAGCCTCTCCTGGCCTATTGGGCCCATGTGTGTTGTGCAGGCCACCATTGCCTGTAGGTGGGAGCCAGTGCTAGGGGTTGTTCTGGGAAGCTGCCACAGAAGGGGATTTGCACAACGACGTCACTACTAAGCCGCTGCTTAAGTCCAGTCCTCGGCCTTCTTTTTCTGCTCTGTAGTCCAGAAACATCTGTTTAAATGCCAGGAAGTCTGTAAATGTGAGCAGCATGTCGAATAGGTCATCAGCCACCTCATCTTTATGATGCTTTAATGTTGCTATGAAAGCAGCCATGTTGAATCTGGGAATCCGTGTCAGCAGCTGTTCTTCAATATACTTTTCTACCAAAGAGAGGTATTCATTAAAAATTGGTGTGTAGGTGAGTTTATTCTCTTCCGTGTCTTCAAACTCCTTGTAGTATTTGTCCATGAAATTTCTCTGCAGTACCTGGAACTCTGCATCCATGACAATGGCCTCGATGGATCCAACCACAGCATCAAACTCAGCTTCAGAGGCGGAAGAGATGGACAGTGCGAAGCCCTCTCCCAAGACTTCTGCATCCTCCATTCCGCCCTGGCTCATGGCTGGCGGGCCTCCCCGGAGTCTGGGGCTGGCGAGTCTGCGCCTGCGCCCGGGCCCAGAGGTCTCCACGCCCCGCCCAGCCGCTCTGCACGGGGGCCCCATGACTGACTTCCAGCAGCCACGCCCGGCCTCCTGTCACAGTGGCTGTGGTTATCATTCCTAATGACTGCACAATTTCCATTATGTGGACATGGCACATTTTGTTGCGGATGTTACATCTACCTTTTCCACAATAATAAACATTGCTGCAATGAACACACGTGTCTCTGAACACTTGTCTTGTACGTTCTTTAAGATTCGTTCCTTAACTTCCTAGATGTGGAATTGCTAGGCCACTTTAAAATTTTGATTTATATTGTCAAACTACTGTTCAGAAAGAGTATGCCAATTGGTCCTTTTACAGGCAATGCATAAGACTTTGTTTCTCCGGTTGTATGGCCACTGCAGTATTCTTTTTTAGTTTCTGACAATTTTCTTGGTTTGATTTTCATTTCCTTGATCGCTAATGAGATTGAATATTATGAATACATTTTTTAGCTATTTAATTTGCATTTTCTGTGCATTATCTCTATTTGTGCAGTCCATTTTCTCTTTGTTTTTTTTTTTTAATATTTTTTTATTTATTTCTAGGAGAGAGAGAGCACGAGCAGGGGAGGGTCAGAGAGAGAGGGAGTGACAGACTCTGAAACAGGCTCCAGGCTCTGAGCTGGCAGTCAGCACAGAGCCCGACGCGGGGCTCGAACCCACGAAGCGCGAGATCATGACCTAAGCGAAAGTCGGACGCTTAACCGACTAAGCCACCCAGGCGCCCCCATTTTCTCTTTGGATAGTCATTTTGGTTTTCGTATTGATCTACTCGTCCGAAACAAGGATTCCAACAGAACTCAAGCCACTCAGGAGGCCAGAATCTGGGCAACAGGCATAACTGGGCCAGTATAAGTGCCCTGTGGAAGAGGTGGGGGCGGACGACAGAACCTGGCCCAGGCAGGGGGGGGCCAAAGGGGCTAACAGGATTGCGGGAATGTGAGGCCAAGTTCCAAGTGGGAAGGAGCCACCTCCCAAATCACGTCTACAGTAGCAGATGAGATGATGGGGTGGGGATGGGGAGGCTAAGAGAGATACAGGCAAGGTCAGCCCTGTAGGGATGAGGGGTCTGTTGTGGATGGCCCTCTACCTTCAATCCTGCTTTATTCACTCCCTTACAGCATTATTACAATCTCCATCTCAGAGTCTCTCTGCTGGGAATCTGATCTGAGACAAGGGCTGAGGGAACAGCTAGATGGTTGCTTGGCTGGGGTTTGAAGGATACCTCTCTTCAGGTAAGAGCTAGTTCCCCTGGGGAGAGTGGAGAAGACTCAGAGATGTTTGAAGACCCTGCAGGTGAAGAGCCAGGGGCAATAGGCAGCCCATGCTTTATACCAAAGAATTCATTACAAAGTTCTTCAGGGTTTTGGAGGGGAGTGGGCTTCCCTAGCTTCGCTGGCTTGCTGCCGTCTGATTAGTTGTGAACCTTCCCCAAGATATTCAGAAAAGCTGAACTGTGGCTGGGGCAGGGATTGATGTGTCTACACAGCCCATCCCCTGCCTTGTTTGTCCATTCTGGATTTTTTTTTTTCTCCCCCTGGTTGAGTTTCTGAGGACTCCACTCTGGCCAAGGTCAGAAGTCAAGACTCTTATTATCTGATCCCTGGCTGATAGAGATAAGCTCCTAAGCATTTTCCCTGCCTCTAGGCTGCTGGGGATAACTTGCCCCAGTCTACCCTTTACTGGTACCTGAGGAGAGCAATTAGCAAATGTGTGCATTAGAGCTCCTTTCTCATGCTACTGTTTAGGCTAGTCTTTTGGTTGTTTCAAGCCAGGTTCTGCCTTATTATAGATGCAGTTACTCACAGCCAAGGCCTACACAGTCCACATTTGAATGCCTATAAATTTACTGCATGTACCTTTTCCCCTGAGAAACTGGTAATTAAGATGCAAGGTCTTAGCTATCCAACAGTAATCTTTTGTGATGGAAGTACAAAGAAAATCTGGGACCTGAGGCATTTCTAATGGTTATTTTAAGTTTTGCATAATTATTGCTGCTCAGTTAGAATTAAATACAAATTTTAACATAGAGTTGAATGAGTCTACCCAATTTCCGCATCTGTACATGGCTGATGTATCTGAGCCTTCTGACTGTAACTCCCGCCTCACTCATCACACACCTACACATACACACAGACACCTACACTCACATGCCTGCCTTTTTGAAACAGAAAAGCACTTGCTAAAAAACAAAATTCAATTGAGTAAATGTGAAGATCTAATTGGCTTAAAAATTGTTTATTTTGAGAGAGAGCATGAGCCAGGGAGTGGGGGAGGGGGAGAGAGAGAATCTCAAGCAGGCTCCGTGTTCATCATGGAACTGACGTGGAGCTCAATTTCACAACTGTGAGATCACAACCTGAGCCAATATCAGGAGTTAGATGCTCAACTAAATGAGCTAGCCAGGCACCTCTCTAATTGGTTTTATTAAATGATTCAAGAATTGGGCCGCATCCTGACTAACAAGTAGAGAAGAGCTCACCTGAAATAAATAAAAGGATTTTAAAGGCAGAGAGAGGGCATTAAAAAAGGAGAAAGGAGTTTATTAGCAAGGAATCATTGTTCAGACAAAGTAACTCTTTTAAGAGGAGTGGAAGAGGTTTATCAGTAAATTTCCTAGTATTGATCAGAAAATTCTGTATGACTAGTTAAAGGTGTTACATTTCTAGGAGGTCAAAAAGTGCAGTTAGTTAGGTATTAAGTCTTGGTTTGCTGGCTTGTCCTAAATGCTTCTATTTTGGGATGGTAGTTTTCTTTTAACACACTAAACAGCAACAGGGAACCTCCTACCCCACACACACGCACACACACACACACACACACACGAGAAAGGGCTGGAAGAAAGTGGTGGAATTTTAGGACAAAGGTCAAGTGCGTGAATGAGAAGATGACTGGACAAGAGAGGGATTGAACACCCAGCTGAAGTGGAGATCAGGACTCTGCTGTGCCCCAGATTACATGCTTGTGTGATTCCCCCAGCAGTGTTCAGGTTTTGTGACAGGAGGGAAAAGGAAGGTTGTAGCCTTCTCCTAGACATGGGACTTTGTTAGACTGCTAGTAGAAGATAGCAGAATAGGGAAATGGAGGATGCTGCTGGGAAGGTTGTTCAGATGGCCAGTAGACTGTTCCATGAGGGATGAGACAGTGTTAATTTTATTCACTACTCCCTACCACCTGGTTAGTGCCTGGCACATAATAGATGCTAAAAATTATTTGTTGAATGAATGAGTAACGCTTAGATTGAGAAAAAGAGGAAAAGAGGCCATGAGAAGGCTAATAGGCTAGGAGAAAATGAAGGGATGAAGACAATGGTAGTATTTATAACATCGAAGAACAGGTGTGGTGGAAGGTAGGTGGGAGTAAATTGAAGGATGAAAGATTATGGCCAGAGAGTGGGATTTGGGATTCAAGCTTCCAAGAAGGAACATTTCTTTGTGATGATCCAGGGCACAGCTCTGAGTGGGTGACTGAGGTGGAGGAGGAAGAAGATGAGTGTAATTACGAAGATCAAGGAATTCCTGGATCAGGATGCAGGGTAGGTCACAGAGGCAAAACTCTCCAAGGATGATGGTGAGGGAAAGTGGGGAGCATCATAACATCCCAGAATCACAGGGGTAAAAGAAACCTCAGAGGTGGTTTGATCCAACTTCCCACCAAATGATAGCAAGAAGATTGACTTGCTTATGAGGGGCTTATGAGGATAAGAAAATGTGAGAGTTCAAGGGAGGTTCAAGGCCTTCTGATGAGTTGGGTCCTTTCTCCCACCTATGGGCTATCTGGTTGCATTTCCTGTGCACTTAAAATATGCTTGTTACACAGGTGTCATTTTTAGCAGAGAGGGAAGCCATCCACACATTAAGGAGTGGTAAGGCCCTAATATTAAAGGAGGGCACTGGGGAAGGAGGAAGAAATAAGGAGCAGAGGAGGAAGGGCATTAGAGGTCAAGAAAGAAGTTCATTCTTCTAGAACAGGAAGCCTAGTTATCTTCTGGGTGGAAGAGTGACAGGTTGAAAGTAGTATTTGCATAAGATCATGTTGGCAGCAATGTAGGAGTGGATGGGAGCAAGGAGAGACTAGAGGTTCTGGGTGGATCTTTGGGGGAGAAGTGAGCCATGTTCTATTCCATGACCCACCACAGTTTTCCAGGTCACCATGACCAGTATAATTTCTTCCCACGCAATGGATCATGCTGGTACATGCCCCCTGCATCTGTGTATATGACATGCTCCCCTCTGTTGCCTTAAGTAGCTTCTGATGATCCTGCTTCAAATAAAGCTGTAATGTTTGCTGCACAGACTGGTTCCTGCAAGTCTCTTCATCCCAACATGGGATGCTGTGTGTCTTCTTTAACAAATTGGCTCATGATGTTTCTTCTGGGAAACCTTCCATGGCTAGCTTCCCTCCACAGATTCCATTTCCATCCCCTCCTATAACTGCAATAGACATGTAGCTATTACTGGCTCCATCTGTGTTTGTCTCGTGTTCTGGATGAGAGTGTCAGACTGTTTGCTTCCTACATATATAGAACACATCTCCTTTTTCCTCTGAACTCCTTATTCTGTGACCTAAAAGATGCTCAATAAATGCTTAAACTGTTTTTGCTTAAACTTTAGCTCTCATGCTGTCTTGTGTGCCTTGCAATGAGGACATTTCCCACAAATCTTTGAGAGCTGACTTGCCATGCAGTGATCTATCCCCATGGTACTGTCCATAGAGGCAAGGCATGGTGTTAGGTCCATGCAGATGCTGAGGTGTGAGCAAATGTGTATTCCAAGCCCAGTGTAAGCTCCTACTGGAGGCAGGTAGAACTCTGTAAACTCTAGTACACCTGAGCTTGCCTGCCTTCTTCCCTTCCTTCCTTCCACTACATGCAACTAGAAGGTACTCAGGTCTCTCACACAGGGTCAGATGACAGTGGATCCATGTCTGACACCCAATCATGACATCCTTTGCTTCCAGAGGAGATGCCACAGCAGACCCGAGGGCTCCAGCTCTTCTAACCTCTCTGTTTAGAAGGCCTTCCGGCATCCCTCCCATGGTAGTAGGCCCTCTTCCTTGGTCTCGGTTCACTAGAAGCCACCAGATTCTGATCTCTCCTTGTAGTTAGGGTGTCTGTTGCTATCACCCCAAGTGTAGAGTTCTTAATGAAATCACCTTTTTTTTTTTTTTTTTTTTGAGGTCAATGCAGCCTCTCTCCCAGGCTCCTAGGGTGGTCAGCTTGCCACAACAATCATCCAAGGCAAGATTGAGGGGGCTTATGAGGATAAGAAAATGTGAGACTTCAAGGGAGGTTCAAGGTCTTCTGATGGTTGGGTCACTTCTCCCACCCATGGGCTATCTGGTTGCATTTCCTGTGCACTTAAAATAGGCTTGTTACACAGGTGTCATTTTTAGCAGAGGGGGAAGCCATCCACCCAAATGACAGCTAATTTACCAGTTTTTGTCTTAAAACCCTGTCCTGAGCTCACATGTGCAGGGCTTGGTCCTGAGCTTGGGGTAAGAGACAATCTGGGTTGGAGAAATGTCCTAAGGGAAAAGGCTTTCTTGTCCAGTGTGACAATGGAGGTGGGACACACACAGGGACCCTTGTAGAGGGACAGTACCAGAAACAGGAAAAGCTGGGCAGCAATTCATTCTACAAAACTTTCAAATCCACCATGGGCCAGGCACTGTGCTGGGTGATGGGGGCACTGTTGGACCAGAGAGATAAGACCCCCCACTCCCCTTCATGGTGTCTATTGTCAAGGGGGCAGGGCTGCAACCTTCACGTAGGGAAGAGGAAGGAAGGGAATGCAGGCAGAAGAGCCCACAGGAGTCTGAAAAGGAAAGGCTTCCTGGAAAGGGAACCTAGGAGGCACGTTTGAAAGGGGAAGAAACCTGGCATGGGAGTGAAATAGGGGATGTGGAGGTCGCCAGAGCAGCGAGATAAACAAAAGCAATAAAACAGGGGGCCACAGGGAGACAGAAGGGACATTAGAGATCTCTTGGTCACCCCAATTGTGAACAATAATAATAATGCTCCGATGAATGTCTTTGGTATTGAGTCCACTCACTCAGGCCTTTGGGTCAGTCTGGAACATTTTCATCCCTGTGACTGGGATAGCAGAGGTGCAGCTTGTGTTATAGAGCCAGGGACACACCAGCAGAGGCTCTCTGGTGAATTCCATGGGGACACACTGTGAGATTTGTAGGCACTACAGTTAGGAGGGAGCCCACTTTCCACTCTGTCTTCCCAAACTCTTCCCAGACTCCGGTGTAGTGTTCGTTCTGGGAGGCAGACAGCATAGTGACATCAGTAGACGCCCAGGGTTTTGGGGGAATGAAAAAGCCACAGAGTCACCTAATTGAACCTGCTGCCTCCTGAGAAGCTGGTGCCTGGGGGCCCTGGGACTGGGCCATGCCTGGCAGAAGCCAAGCTCATTCATTAAGGGAGGGCCCTGGTTCAGTAGTGCACAAAGTCTATACAAGGCTAATTACAGGAAAGACTTGAAATGGAGACTCTGGGATTACAACAAAGGAAATTGGTGTGGGGATTAGTTGTAGCCAGAGAATGAAACCTTGGAAATCATCCAATTAATGAACCAGTTCACTGGGACCTATAAAAGGGGCCACCTACCTCCCTGTGTCAGAAGGTGCCTTTTCCTCAGAGGCATCTGAACCAGGACATCTTCCTGTGCCCAGAGAAAATGATGAGCCAGCAGTCCAGCAGGCTGTTCCAGGCCACCAAGGGCTCAAGGGGTCGCTCTGCTGTCATGGTGTCCAGCCAGAGTTGTATCAGCCCCACCAGGTCCCAGTCGGCCTTGTGTTCTGGGGAAGGCAGTGCCTCCACAGCCTGTGCCACAATAGGGGATGCCTTTGGCAGCCAGAGCACGTACAACCTTGGGAGGAGCAAGAAGGTCTCACTTAGTGTGGGCAGATGTGCCGCTCAGGCTGGGGGCTCAGCATGGGGTTCCTTAGGTGCCTTTGGAGGGAGCCCGTGTGGGGCTAGAGAAAGAGGCAATGGAGAGAGATGTGGTTTTGGAGGTATTCCTGGTACATCCGGGGACCTTGCGAGTTCAGGGGGCTTTCCCCTCCGCCTCCAGAAGGTGATAATCAACCAGAGCCTCCTTCAGTCCCTGAACATGGGAAACAACCCTCAGATCAGGGAGGTGAAGACCCAAGAGAAGGAACAAATCAAGATGCTCAATGACAAGTTTGCCTCCTTCATCGACAAGGTGAGGGCCCATGGTGGGGAGGGGGCCTGGGAACATGAGGCCTGGGTTGGGGTTGTTGGTCTCACGAGCAGGAGGCCGGGCAGGCCATGACCTCTCCTCCCTGGTTGACCTCAGGTGGGTTCTTGCAGCAGGAGGCAGGGTGCTGGAGACCAAATGGTGCCTCCTGCAGGAGCAGTTGGCCACCTCTAAGGCCAGCACCAATGACCTGAAGCCCTTCTTTGAGTCCTACACCAGCTGCCTGTGGGCCCACCTAGACTGGCTGGGTGAGCAGCCTCAGCTGGATGGAGAGCCGAGCATAATACAGACACTCATGGAGGAATATAAGAGGAAGTGAGTGAAGTCTAGGGGATTGTGGTGCAGGTCAGCTGGGAAATTGTTGGTGCATGTCCTCAAGGACCTGAGTCTGTAGGCCACAAGATGGGGTGTCAGGATGGGGGTCTGATGAAAGGAGGATCTGTTCTTTTTTGATATTTGTGTTGGTGCCAAGGAAGATGAGGTGTATGTCACAGCATGGGCATCTAGGGAGCTCCTTTAGACAGAGGAAGATGTCAGGCACTTTAGTGTTAACACCAGTGGATCTCATCCTTTGTTGTTAACCAGAATCATTTTGGGAGCTTTATAAACTCTGAATGTCCAGGTTTCACTCATGACTCACTGAATCAGAATTTCTAGGCATGGGAGCCAGGCATCATGGAGCCCCAGATGATTCCAATGTACTGCTAAGAGTGAGGACCGTTAGAGAATCTGTTTGTCCTGGGTAATGAGGGAGATTCAAGGGGAGGTAGGGCACAGATAGAGAAGAGAACAGATGGGAGCTTCAGGGGCTGGTCACTTCAGAGTTACCAAGGGTCTTTGCTCATGAGGACTAGACTGACTCCACGCAGTGGAGAATCCAAAGACCTCTATGAATGTGCTGTCTAAGAACACCAGGGGTTATGTGCCAGTTCAACCACATGTTTTATCTCCTTTTATTTCCAATACATGTAGTGTCAGAAATAGGGTGCCAATGTGCTCTTAAAGGCTCTACCATCATAAAAAATCATGCCACTCAACTGGCTTTAGCCTGGTTTTATCCAGGGAATAGTCACCTGCAGCCCCGCCCCAGGTTATACACTAGCTCCGGGAATAAACACCTTTCTCTGGGCACATGTGCACACACCCTTGGCTCAGTCACCCTTGGGCATGACTTCCCTCTTTTCTTACAGGTATGTGGATGAGTTTAACAAGCGCTCAGAGGCTGAGAATGAGTTCATGGTTCTGAAGAAGGTGAGCAGGCCAGTGGGAAAGAACAAGACAGCACGGGGAGGAGATGGCATGAGGGAAGGATGGGGGAATGGTGGTGCCTTTCCAGAGATGTGAGACTGGAGAATACACTTTGCCCCGAGCAGGATTCCAAGTGTTTTCCTGTTGTTGAGGGCCAGAACCCAAGTCAGTGCCAGCCTTGAGTCTGAACCTATGCCCTGAGGGTTTTCTTTCTGTAACTAAGATATCTCTCAAGTGTGTTTGGCTCATCAGTTGCAAAATTGCTTTGAGCCAGTCCTTACATATTAGAGTTTATTGCCAACTATTAATAACTACAAAAAAAATAATAAAGATCTTTTCTGACACTGAGCTCAATTGTGAAAACGCTCTACTGGAAGTGTAATGTCTGGTTTAAGTGATATTTGCTCTCACAACCATGTAAACATGGTATCAATATTTTTTTTTTACATGTTTATTGATTTATTTTTGAGAAAGAGAGAGTGAGAGCGTGCCAGCACAACCGAGCACAAGTAGGGGAGGGGCAGAGAGAGAGGAAGACACAGAAACCGAAGCAGGCTCCAGGCTCTGAGCTATCAGCACAAAGCCTGAAGCAGGACTGGAACCCATGAACCATGAGATAGATCATGACCTGAGCTGAAGTCAGATGCCTAACTGACTGAGCCACCCAGGTGCCCCGGTATCAATATTCTTAAATGAAATGGTAATGAGTGAGGGTAATATTGAAGTGAAGAAGGTTGGTTCTCTGTTTTTACTTTCAGGATGTGGCTAATTCCTGCATGACCAAAGTGGACTTGGAAACAAAAATGGAGATTCTGACCAGTGAAATCAACTTCCTGAGAGCCCTCTTTGAAGCTCTAAGGACTTCTAAACTTTCCTCTAGGGTGGAAGCCACAACATGGGATGTCAAATCTTGCTTGATTCTGAGAATTCAGCTCCCTTTGTGAAATCTATTTGGCAGCAAACATTTACAAAATCTTTCTCATATTTATCCTTATTTCTTTTCATTTTTTCAATTTTATACCTCCTTAATAATAATGCTTATGTTCTCCTTCCCATGACTCCAAGCTTTCAGAATCTGCAGCCCATGTCTTTGGAATCTTTATGTATATAGACTCCCAAGGGAAATCCTTGGGAGAGTAAGGGAAATACCTCATGCCTGCTGGGAAGTTTCTTGCTGCCTGGTTTCTGGATCTCTGTCTTGTTCCCTTCCTTCTCCTTCAATAAGATTTAGTTTTCTAGATTCCCACAACATTCCTGAGCCAGTGGATGGAAGGTTTAGGGCACCCTAGAGAGATGACGACACTGTACAATGGTGTGCTCCTGTGGGCATATAGGAGTACAACCAGCTGCTGTCAGAATCCAGTGATATGTCTGTCATCCTGTCCATGGACAACAACCAGCATCTGGACCTGGACAGCATCATCACTGAGGTCAAGGCCCAGTATGAGGAGATTGCCCAGAGGAGCAAGGCTGAGGTTAAAAGGCTGTACCGGGTCAAGGTAAATAAGGGTCACTGCATCAGTCTAGACTCACCCAGGTCTCCTGTTCCTTCACCTCCAGCCCCTCCTTGTTCCATCCCAAATAACGTACATTTTGTTCAGTGGGAACCCCTCTGAAGTATCTTTCACAAATATCCATAATTTGCAGTGCTTTTCATTCTACTACCTGTTATCTTTAGGGGCAGCTGTGATTTTTAGTTAAGCAATACTTTTCATTCTAAATGCCTGCTGGACTTCCATATAGTATTAGGACATTCTGGACTAACTGCACTTCTATTCTCATTTTATTTTATTTTTCATTTTAGGTGGAAGGAGATGGGCAAAGGGGAGAGAGAGAGAGAGAGAGAGAGAGAGAGAGAGAGAGAGAGAAGAGAGAATCTTAAGTAGACTCCATTCTTAGCGTGGAGCTCCATGCAGGACTCAACCCCACAACTCTGGGATCATGACTTGAGCTGAAATTAAGAGTCGGATTCTCAACTGACTGAGCCACCTAGGCTTTCCTTATTCTCCTTTTAACACACATATATTTGAGGGTTAGGGATAATCTCTCCCTATCTGCTCTACACCTTCCAGCTTGGGGAGCTGCAGACTACAGCCAGCAGGTATAGTGATGACTTGAGAAGCACAAAGAATGAGACTGCAGAGCTCAACAGGATGGTCCAGAGGTTGTGGGCAAAGATTGACAGCACCAAGAAGCAGGTTGGTGTGGCTCCCCAAAGCCTAGGATTGTAGCTCTGATGCTGGTGGGGCATCTGAACCTAGCAGGCTGGAAAGCTTTTCAGGTCCTCATTGGAACCTACAGAGGGCTTCCCAGGAAATACCATACAGAGCTATGGCTTCATGTATGTTACCTTTACTCCTACCCATCATCTTCAAGATAGAATGATCTTCCCTTACTTCATTGGGTGTGGCCCCAGACTCCATGAAATATGTGGGATTGGGTTTCTGGGGCCTCACACCATGGAGTATGAGATTTAAGAGATTGGGAAGCAGGTCACCAATATCTCTGGGTAAGGATTCAAATCACCATTGGAATTTCCTAGCATAGTGTAGATACATGGATATGAATGATATGGGCAGAAGAAGTTACCGTGGTTAAAAACACAGCACACAGGTTAGAGATTTTAATTAAGACGTTTAGAGGGAGACCTGTGCTCAGGTCTTACCTCTTATGTGCTCAGGTGGGTTTAAAGATTCAGCCTTTCTCTTTTTTCTCCTCCCATTTCAGAATACCAACCTACAGGCAATGAAGGCTGACGCTGAGCAGAAAGGTAAATGGACTCTCAAAGATGACCAGGTGAAGTTGGCAGAGCTCAAGGAGGCCCTCCATCAGGCCCAGAAGAACTTGGCTTGTCTCTTAAGTGACTATTTGATGAACATCAAATGGGCATTGGATGTGGACATCGTCACCTACCAGAAGATGCTGGTTGGTGAGGAGTACAGGTGTGTGGGGACTCTGTCCAAGGCAAGGAAGACAACTTGAGAATCAAGTTTCAAAGGGTTGTATGCTCCTTGGTTAGATACAGTCGCAAGGAACAAAGGAGGGTCTCAACAAATGCTTGATTAACTGAATTATACTGCCTAGCACTCCCCCTTTGGCCTCAGGGAAAACACCAACTTTATATATTTGTTAGAGCTGAATAGTTATGCTTTCCAACAGGCATTTGGTGCTCCCCAAAGGCCAATGTCAGCCAGTCCTGGTATGGTGGAGAATACAAGATGGGTACTAGGTGGTCCTAGCAGCCTGCTCCTCCTCTTCTCCAAACTGTTTTCCACGTCTCTCTGCATCAGTCTCTCTTCTTTGCTTCTCCATCTCTGGCACAGATAAGAGCTGTGTCACTTTTGGTATAGGCCAAGGACTCTACTAGACATTCTCCATGGCTTAATTTACTCTCTTCAACAAACCCTCCAGGTTTGTCAGTGAGGGAATCAGGGCCAGGATGATGACAGAGCCAGGTATCCAGAGGCACATTATATCTCTGTTCTCTGCATCCCCATGCTAGAATCCCAGAGAAGGCCTTCTCATGTCTGACTTCAATCCCCAATGCTGCAGCTCATTTTATTGTGCTCTGGTGTCCCAGGGGATAATTCTGAACAGAGATGGTGAGAGGAACCACCATGAGGTTTCCATGATATTTATTTTGTTTTCCTAAACAGATGTCTGGGGAGTGTCAGAGCCCAGTGTGCATCTCTGAGTATCTTATGCACTCCATTTCTATTGTTCGAGATGATTTCTTGTGGCTTTACTTCAGCTTGCCTACCTGCAAGTTGTCTTTTCTACAGTTTGATTCCAAGAGTAAAAGAAAAGGAGGAACCAAGAGGGAGTCATATTTGGGTAGGACTTATCTAATGTCCTCTCCAGTGTATGTCCTGGATTCCCCCGCAGACAAAGAACTCCCTACCATGGGAGGGTGGTCTCCTTTTTTTGGGTTTTCTCTGTCACTCATTCCAAAGACAGGAAGGCATGCAATGGACATTTAGACAGATGGATGACATGAGCAGCCCTTTTTTTTTTTTTAATTTTGAAGTTGTGATTAACCACATATCCACCAGCAAGAACATTAGTGTTGGGGGCAGCAGCAGCAGCAACAACAGTGATGGCATTTGGGGTAACAGAGGTGGTCAGGGCATACAAGGGGAAAGTGAGTCCACAAATGTGGGGAAGGGCATCCAATCCAGAAGCACACGCATCTCCATGGATCAGAGTCCCAGACTGAGCAGTTCATCTGCCTCCTTGGCTAAGACTGTGCAGACCACCACCAACAGTGACCAGAGCTCCTGCATCAAATACTGAGACTGGGCCCTGATGTGCAACTGTAGGAATTTCCCCTACCTTTAGTCACACCTCTCTATAATCGCTCCTCTCTTCTAAAATACTCTCATCTGCTTGAAGGCTCAAATCCAAGAAGGGACCCAAGTAGACACTGTCAAGTTAGGATTTTGTCCCTGAGCCCATCACCCATTCTACTGCTGCCCATTGTTCCCATGTATATAAACTCTTCCTTGCCTCCCCTCAGCTCTCTGTTTCCTTTTATTCATTAAATGATAATATGTGATGGTGGATTTGACTTTATGAGTTTTTCAGAATAATAGGGACCCATGATGTTTGCTTAATCAGAGAGCAACACACTCAAAATGTGGCCTTCAGGACGTTACATTAGCAGCTATGTATGGAGTGAGAGAAGAGGAGAGAAGGGTGCTGAGGGAGTCTTTGGGGTTAAGCCAAGTGGGTCAGACTTTGCCCAACTTCCATGCTGTGCTTCATTCTTTTTGGATCTATCCCAGGGCAGGACACACCCTGGGCTGGCATACTTCTCATCTGGGCATCAGTAATCCTTGCCAAGAATTCCAAATGACTCAGTGACAGCCCACTGACTAACTGCAGTGCCCAGCCTGGGTCACCTTCGGGGGCAGTCTTTATTTATCTCCTCCCTTGGGGACTTTGGGCAACAGTGGTAGGAGAATGTGGTCAAATGTTGCCCTTGTGTCCTCATTCCTTGTGATTCAATGACAGTCATCCCTCTTCCCAGTAGGACTGTAGCACTCTGTCTCTCCTTTCCTCCCACATCTTGAGATCTGAAGGCTCTGGAAAATCAATAAATGGAAAAAAAGTTTTATTAAGTAATTTCCACCTCCTCAGACATTGTTCTGAGAATTTCACACATAAATAATTTAATCTTCACAATGATCCTATGAGGTAAGCATGATTATCCTCACTTTATAGATGAGAAAAAGGAGTACAGAGACATGAAGATCACACTATGCCAAAGGTTGCAGTTAGCAAGTGGAACAGCCAGGGTTGAACATGAGTAGTTGGACCCTAGAGTCCATGCTTGTAACTTGCATCGTATACTAATGTCACATGTGTGGTTTTTTTCATGATAAATTTGCTGGGTGGAATGTCTTTGGTCTTTGAAGGCAGAAGCTGACTTTATTCACAGCCCTGCCTTGTCCTTGGTTCTGAGATCTAGTCCAGATACCTGGGGGACTCAGTCCCTCCAAACTTGACTTCTCAGTCCCACCTTTAGTTCTGACTATTTATATGTGCTCACAGATTTTCCACCTAAGATCAAGTAATGTTAATATTTGTTTCAAAGTTCAACTTTAAAATAGACCTAGGCTTTGTCTATTTTGTTTTGTTCCCTTTAAAACCAAGAACGACAACAAAAAAGTCTCAAAGTCCTTATGGATAATAAAACTTAACCTAATTGAGCATGTTTGCCTTTTTGTCTCAGCTGCTGGGCAGTATTTGTCATTGGATACTTAGCATACTTGCTTCCTTTTTAAAATATGGATTGTTACTATTATTACTATTATTGTTTTTTGATTGAACAGATTGAAAACTGGACACTCACAGAGGAAGAGAATAATTTAAAATATTAGTTGTTAGTATTCACTAATGTGATAATAAAAATAATATCTACCTCTCAGGGATGTTTCAAAGAATACATGAAATAATATACATGAAAGTATTTTATAAAATGAAAATATTCATACAGGTATTATACTATCTGTCTATGAATTTTGATTAGCAACTAGATTATATGTTCTTTAAAGAGAGGGACTTATGCCATATATTTGTATCCTATGTAATATCAGACAGAAAATGCATCCCTGACCCCATCCCCACCCCCGAAAAGGCTAATGTGATTTCTTTTTAAAAAATTACTCATTAATTTTGAGAGAGAGAGAGACAGAGAGAGAGAGAGAGAGAGAGAGAGAGAGAGTGCGAATGCACATCCATGCACATGTTGGGGAGGGGCAGAAAGAGGGAGACAGAATTCCAAGCAGACTCCAAGTTGTCAGCACTGAGCACGATGCAGGGCTCAAACCCATGAACCAACAGCTTATGACCTGAGCTGAGATCAAGAGTCGGATACCTAACTGACTGAACCATCCAGCCACCCCAGGGCTAATTTCTTTTTTTTTTTTTAAATAGTTTATTGTCAAGTTGGTTTCCATATAACACTCTGTGCTCATCCCCACAAGTGCCCTCCTCCATGCCCATCATCCCCCTTTCCCTCCCCCCACCCCCATCAGCCTTCAGTTTGTTCTCAGCATCAAAAGTCTCTCACAGTTTGCCTCCCTCCCTCTCCCCAAATATTTTCCCCCTTCTTCTCCCCCACGGTCCTCCGTTAAGTTCCTCCTAATCCTCCTATACGTGCAAACATATGGTAGCTGTCCTTCTCTGCCTGACTTATTCCGCTCAGCATGACACCCTCAAGTTCCATCCATGTTGCTACACATGGCCAGATTTCATTTTTTCTCATTGCCATGTAGTATTCCATTGTATAGATAAACCACATCTTCTTGATCCATTCGTCTGTTGATGGACACTTAGGCTCTTTCCATGATTTGGCTATTGTTGAAAGTGCTGCTATGAACATTGGGGTACATGTGCTCCTATGCATCAGCACTCCTGTATCCTTTGGGAAAATTCCTAGCAGTGCTACTGCTGGGTCATAGGGGAGTTCTATTGTAAATTTTTTGAGGAATCTCCACACTGTTTTCCAGAGGGGCTACACCAGTTTACATTCCCACCAACAGTGTAGGAGGATGCCCAGGGCTATTTTCTAATAAAATAGGTTAGTTTTAAATGTTTTCATATTTTATAAGTATATATATACATATCAGTAGGATCATACAGTTTGTGTGTGGACTCTTTTGCTTGGTGCAATATAGTGAGATTCCTCCAAAACCAGCTATGTGGTCATAGATCATTCATTCTCATTAGTATGGTGCTGTGCGACTAACCTTGTTTATTTACGTACTTTGTTACTGTTAGACATGGGATCTGAGTCCAGTTTTCAGCTTTTATGAACAATCCTGCAATGCATATTCTAGTACATGTCTTGTGGTAACTACGTGAATGCACTCAATGGTTTCGGTACATCTAGCAGTGGAACTGTTTGGTCTACAGGGTGTGGTATGCTCAGCTACAGCAGATACTCTTTCCCAAAGCAGCCATCCTCATCCTTGACAACACTTGGCACTTGAAATTTTCTTTCTTTGGTAGTTTAGTCTCTTTGGAGGCTATTCTGTTGTATATCTTTGTGGTTTTAATTTGGATGTTGAGCTCCTTTATACGTTTACTGGCCATTTGGGGATCCTCCTTCAATGCCAGGAAGCATTTTTCTATTGGGTGGGTTGTCTGTCTTTTTCTTGTTAACATACAAGGGTTCTTTATATGGTCTGGATATATGTCCTTTGTTAGATATATTAATATTTCTTTCCACTCTGTGGGTTGCCTTTTCACTCTTTCATGGAGCTTTTTGATAAATAGTTACTTAATTTTATAAATTCATCATATTCTTCTTTTGTGTCTTGCTTTTTGTGTCCTGTACTTTGCTCTGTACTCTAAGGTCATGAACACATTCCCTGGGATCTTTTAAAAGGCTTACTGTTTTACCTTTCACGTTCAAATCTGCTGTTGACTTTTGTGTATGTTTTTTTCCCCCATACAGACATCTAATTGGAAATCCTGTAACATTTAATTATTACAAGGAAAATGTCCACCTGGTTAATCTCAGTGGTAAGCACCCAGATGTTGCTCTATTGTTTTCTGTATGATTGAAATATTTTACAATTAAAAATAAAATGAAAAATATTTGAGTATTGATGTTTCCCTGGGTTTCTTCTTTGATCTACTTTTCTTTTCATGTTACATATTCTTCCTGCATGAGTTTGCCTACAGCCATTCTATCCATCTATTTGTTTAAATTTCACCAAGTACCAATTCACTCCATGTACCATGAGGTTGCTGGCCTCAGAGATAAATATAACATGACTGTCCCCTAAGGGACTTACAGTCTGGTATATATAGTGACAAAAAATTGCAATAAAAGTCCTTGGAATTCTAAAGAACATCTCAGAGCTCATGTTCTCTTCAACATGAGTGTTTTGTCCTCCCTTCCTCCTCTTCTTGTCCCTTCTTAATTAATTAATTAATTAATTTATAAATTTTAATTTGAGAGAGAGAGGGAGTGGGGGGGAGGAGCAGAGGGAGAGAGAGAGAATCTTAAAAAAAGTTTTAAAATGTTTTTATTTATTTTTGAGGGAGTGCAAGCGGGGGAGGGGCAGAGAGAAAGGGACACAGGATCCAACACGGGCTCTGTGCTGAGAGCAGGGAGCCCAATGTGGGGCTCGAACTCATGAACTGCAAGATCATGACCTGAGCTGAAGTCAGACACTTAACCGACTGAGCCACCAAAGTGTCCTGAGAGAGAGGGAGAGAGAGAGAAAGAGAGAGAGAGAGAGAGCGAGAGAATCTTAAGCAGACTCCACACTCAGCACCGAGCCCAACACTGGGCTCGATTCCACAACCCTGGGATCGTGACCTGAGCTGAAATCAAGAGTTGGATGCTCAACTGACTGAGCCATCCAGGCGCCCCGTTTATCCCCCTTTTAAAATCAGCTTCACTGAGGTCTAATTCGCATACAATAACAATGTAGTCATTTTCAGAGTACATTTCAGTGAGTTTTGACAGAGGTATATCACCATGTAAATACAACCACAATTAAAATATAAGACATCTTCCAAAATTTTCTCCTATGCCTCTTTGCGGTCAATCACTCGCCAGCCCTCAGGCCCAGGCTGGGGCTTGCTTTCTGTCACTACAGGTTATATCACTTCTTCTAGATATTCATATAAATGAAATAATTCAGAATACATTATTTCTGTGCCAGGCTTCTTTCCCTCATCGTGGTGTTTTGGAGACCCATCAGATACATGTACGCCCCAGGCTGTGATTCACCTTTTCTTGCCTTTTCTCAGTGATGTGTTTCGAAGCTCCC